GATTATTATTTATAATTATATTATTATTATTATTATTCATATTATTCATATTATTATTATTCGATTCTGACTTAAATCACACTGAAATTTCTTTAATACTTGACTAGTAAAAACAGAGTTTTATAAATTCTTATTTTTGGTATTTTGAAAATTTTTTTAATTTATACGGCAGCATAAAAACAAGTATAGCTTTTATATTAGATAAGTTACTTGAGAAAGTAAAGTAGGGTATTGTGTTATTCAACGAGGCTGTAATAGTTTATATTAGAGCGTTGTTTTTGTCACTTGTGTAATGACGAGACGAATATAAGCGTTTTTCATTTTTGAGCTCAAGTCTGAATAAAATTTTAAATTTTTTAAATTTTTCACGAGAGATATTGACAACGAATAATTGTTACAAAAATTTTCTGTTTAAAGTCTACTACTAATTTGTCTGAATATGACGAGGCTATTTCAATGCTCACTGGCATAATTTGATGACAAAAAACTTTAAAGATTGATGGTACTTTGAAAGTTAGTTTAAAGTTAATTTTTGATTGGTAGGTTGTTATTAATCAAACGTGTTTAGGCGTTGTCAGTTGTTCTCGAAGTTTGGTAGCAGACCAAAAGTAGCATTTCTAATACATTTGTCATTCAATAAGCAAAGGTGTTGTTTGCAGGCAAAAAATTTTTTGAAACTGAAATAATAAGACATCAGATATGTTAATTGACAAAACTTTTTTTACAAGACTTTAGAATTCAAAGAATTGTTAACAGATATACATTTTATTTTCATTTTTATTTCTATACCTTCTTAAACTGTTTTTTTTTTCTAAAAATAATGGCAATAACTGTTGGTTTAAGTGGTGACAGTAACTGATTTACATTTATTTGATAACATAATTTTCAGCACTTTTTCTTTAAAATAAGTGTGAACTGGTGAATGATTGGTAAACATTTCAAATTCTGCTCGTTTTTCAATTAGTATTCTACATTTATTCTGCTTTTAATTTTATTAAAATATTTGACAAAAAAAGAAAATCTAAAAAGCACTTTGTTAAACTTGAGAATTTCTTTTCCTTTTTCTTTGAAATAGTGTATATAAAGTATACAATTTTGATTGTTATGACAATTTGGTCTGATAGTTCCTAATGTTATCTGTTAGTTCTCGAGTGCTGATAGTATTAGCAAAGATTTGTTTGATAACTTAATTTTCTTTTTACAACTCGACTTCAATTATTTCTCCTCTCTCATTTTGACACGATCAAACTTAAAAGACAAGAAGGATTGATTAAATTGATAATTTTCAACTTTTTAAAGCCAATTTTATAATCAACAACATATTCTGCACATAAAATGGCACTAGTTTACTTGTTACAGGTAAGTAATAAGTCTGCTTAATAGAGCTGGTCAGCATTTATTATTAAAATAATTTTAAAACGGTAATATTCTTAAAAACACTAAGTGTCAGTAATCTTTTTAATTTTTAATAATTTTTATTTTTTTTTATTTTTATTTTTTTTTTTTTTTGGTGGGTTATATAAATATTGTCGCTTCATAAATCTGTGTGCAAAATTGTCTTAAAAACTATTAAATTTTGTCATTTTTTGTTGAGATCAACTTTTTAGTGTTTTTTTATTAAAGTAAATTTCTAAAGAATTAGTTGAAATTAAGCGAATACTTTGTCTTCAAATGTTCTGTGAACAAAAACATGTTGCAGTTGTTCAATCTGTTGTATCTTTGGAAACCTTAAAAAATGGTTTAAAAAACCCAGATGATAACATATTTTTTTCTGTATTTTTGGCAGTACTTTTTTCTCCGCTTAGTAAGCAAATTTTTTTTGTCAATTCTTTTTTTTTTTGCTTTTAGTACTTTTTTAAGAATTTGATTCAAACTTTAGGAGAGCCAATGATAAAGAATTTTTTCAGTATAAGTGTACTTTCAGATTGAAAGGTTTTCTTTTGTTGATTTCATAAGCAATACGAAAATTATTTGAATTATCTAAATGAATTTTGTTTTTTTTAAACCTTACAAATTCTGAAGTATCCTACATTTGATTAATCATATGTGTAGATATGCATAAAAACTAAAACAAATTATTTTGCTCTCTTCTCACCTGACATGTAAAACATTCCAAAATTGTTTTAAGTATTTCTAATTGTTTGTCATTTTTTGAATCTATTAACCTAAAAAAAAATTCTTTTTTAGCAAACATATTGTCAATAAAAACAAAAAATAATTAAAATACAGGCTTAAGATCCTAATTTAAAGCAAAAAAAAAAAATTATACGCAAAATTCAAGGCCATTAGACTACAAATTTAGATTATCCTTATGACCTAGTGGGCAACATCAAAAATTGGGGAACGTCTTACTGATTTGCTGACTAAGTTCATCGGAATGACGAACTTTTTTTATGCGTTCATATAAAGCCGTTCAAATTGGGACATCTTTAGTGGCTGTCACTGATACTGCCAAATGCCGACTGAGTCTGTTTGTTCTTTCTGTCAACCAAACTAAGCCACTTGCTCACTAAAGGGGCATACATACTTCAAAAGTTCGTAGGCTCTTTGAAAAACTAAATAATCAGTATTCGTACCTTTTTTCAGCTATCTGAACTGCATTCCTGAATGCTTATATTTTGTTTGAGAGGGCGAAAATTTAATCAGTCTAGAAAACCGAGTTTTATTTTTACCGTGCAAAATGATTGTGTTTTGAAGTGAAAGTAAATATAAGTTTGAAAAATTAGATGTATTATGGAAGTCTAAAGTTTATGAGATGTACAAAATCTATGTTGTTAAGCACGTTGTTTTAAACTATTTGATTTTTTTTTTGTTTCTGAGTCTTGATTTTCATCGGATAGAATATCAGTTGATTGATTCCTAATCAATCGCTATTGCATATTTTACCAGTTTTCTTCTGTACCAAAACATGGAGTTTTTTGTTCAGAAAAAAATTCATAATAAGAAATCTGGATCAGAAACAGCAGTGACAATACCTATCAGTATTATGCTTCGTAAATAATTTATAATGAACCACATTTGTTATCATATTAGGCTTAATTATTTATTTTTTGAGTTTATGCTTATATAATTTTGTCCGTGGCGCTATGGGGATTTAAAGCACCAGAATTCCTGTTGTACAATAGATGTTGAAATTTCAGTTAAATCAAAATAACTGACACCGCAGTGTTCCGAAAACATGAGTAATGCAGGATTTTATCGGCTTGGTCTTTGTGCGGTCTTGATAAGCAGTACAACGTTGTTTACTCTTCTGATTTCGTTACCTGCATTTTTGGCAAAATTTAGTTATGAGAAACGTGGCATCGAGAGCATGGCAGCAGAGTTTCAAGTACGTCCTAAACTGCGCACAGAAAATTGTTGCCCATAACCGAAACGTTCATAAAATAATTCCGTTACAGATTTGACTATGTTGTAACTGTTAGTTCTTAGTCGATAGACACAGCATTTTTTGTTTGAAAAATAACAATCAAGAAAATTCAGGAACAAACAAATCATCTGTGGAAGCGAATAATCCAAGCTGGTGATGATTCCGGAGTTGTCTTTTTCAGTCGTAGAGTTAGATCTCCTTGGGAGCACGGAGTTTGCAGAGGTGGATTTTTAGGGTCATTTTTTCTGTTTATCACACATTGGAATCTTATATAACTTACTGCTTTTCGTTTTAACAGTAGTAGTAATTCAAATCTAATTGACAGGGTGCTTCCAATTAGCCTGTCCTAATGGCCCTACAGGCCCGCCAGGTGAGCCAGGATTAGATGGTGTTCCTGGTGAGCCAGGCGATCAAGGTCCGGCTGGAGATGATGGTTTAGACGTTCAACTAGAGCCTGAACCAGAACTTCCATGCGTTATCTGCCCTGCTGGACCGCCTGGTTTAAGGTTCTTGATCACATATTAAAAATTTCTTATAATTTCCTTAGGCAATGAGTAAAAAACATTACTGCCAAGGATAATCAAACAACTTTTGAGTAACTGCATACCTCCTCTAGAAATTTTCTAAATTATGTGCAGTAATGTTAGTTTATCCGTAACTTTTATCGAATTCTTTGTTATACAGAGGTCACCAGGGAGAGCGTGGTCGGCCGGGAGTTCCAGGAATCAAAGGAAAACGTGGTCCGAGCGGTGCACCCGGTATATATGGACCAATTGGGAACAGCGGACCACAAGGACCTCCGGGAGGAAGAGGAGAAATGGGACTTGCTGGTCCTCCTGGTGATACAACAATAGCAGGTCTTTATGACGCACGCTTCTTTAGTCTATTAAATAGTAACTTCTAAAGCGTAAACTTTGGAAATTCCAAACTCTGCCGGTATCTGGTAACAAAAAGAAGTTTTAGGTGTCGGTATCAAAGGGCCAAAAGGACCTCCAGGTCCCAGCGGGCCAAAAGGTCCTACAGGACCAGCTGGAAAACCGTCGAACGTTCCTGGAATGCCAGGAAAAACTGGTAAAATGGGTGTCGATGGACTTCCAGGAAAACCTGGACGTCCTGGTGATGACGGACCGTGGGGACCACCTGGAGAACCTGGTAATGTAACAATCAGTTGTTTAACCATCTTTTTTGGCAGCTCTTACAAGTTTTTTTGTAAAGACTTATTTGGAAAATTATAAAAAA